TTTATACTGGTGTGGATAAATTCGCTGCAGTTTGTCAAGAATAAATGTGTCAAGTACTGGTATGATGATATGCTTCATTAGTGTCATCACTTTTGGGTCTGGATTAAAGCTAATTTCAACCATGAACCTGGAAGCTTATACCCAATATGTTGTGTCTAATCCTCTACCAAGAGATACTCAGAATAGTAGGAACCCCCAATTGCCCATGTATTTGCTAAATGAACATGTGGGGGTCCTCTCTTCCATCTTTTGGCAAAAGAACACATGATTCTTGCTGTGTGTGGGAAGAGAACCTTCTGATGAATAACACAAACTTTTTAGATGATTTGATATATAGAGCCAAGTTTCAGTTGTATAAGAAGCACTATTATAAGAATACCTTTAAAATTTCTGAAACTAATCAACCCACAACCATCAACAACTATGATTCTATGAACCATTCAACCAATAAATTTAGCAGTACTAATTAATATAAGAGTTAAAAGTTAGCATAACACCAGGAAGCATTGAAGGGAAGGGGCCGAAGGGGCGAAGGAGCGAAGGGGCTAAGATTCTGGGAAGAATCCGAATCGCATGCTGCAGGTCCACTGAGAAGGGGTAGGGCTGGCAGGAGGCGTTCAAGCATCGCATGCTCGCGGCATCGATGTCTGGCAGTCTGGGCGGCTTGGTGGTTGGCGTTCCGACTTCCGACTTCCGCATCGCGAACCCTGCGAAAGGCGTTCGTGAGTTCGTTGGCTTCGTCCAGTCAACTACCGAGTCGTCCTTCGAGGCTACGTGGATGAGAGTATGAGACGATGAATTGGTTGTGAGCGTTCTGCACTTTGGCGTTCACTTCTGCGTTCAGACGCTGGGAGCTTGGGCCGGCTAAAGTGGTTAAATTAGGGCTGAAATCTCAAGGAAGCTTGGAGTCCAAAATCAATTATGTAGTACTATGTAACTTTTAATTGATTTTTTGTCATTCACACAAATGAAAGAATGACATGGGGATCAAGATTAAACTTTAGTTGGACTTATTTTAATCTCAAATCAAACTAGATCAGATTAAACTTGATCAGATCAGACAAGACTTAACAAGATCAGATCAGATCAGACCCGACCAACTGTGACAGTAATAAAATACACATAGATCTGAACTCTACCAGACTAGACCAATTCAGATCAGACCAGAAAATTCCATTTCAATAAAAAACAAACTAATTCATGAGTTCGTGATGACAAACATAAAGAAGAACGATTAAATAACTTCAAAATCTTAAATCTATTAAAAAAATACCTCCATTATCCGGATACGTGTAGTTGCCCGTTCTCACGTCTGCCACCGCTAACGGGAAAATGTCATAGAATATCCCACAAAATGATCATACTAACGAATAATTACTCGATTAAGTTCTTAATTTAATCAAAAATTAACGAGTGACCCACTACTCTCTTAATTTATTTATTTTTAATTTGATTTGAATTTTTTGATCTAATATGTTGTGATCTGTTTAAATCAGATCTGGTTTGTTTAAATTAGATCTGGTACGATCTGATCTGGTCTGAGATTAAAACAAATCCAATTGAAAACATCTTTAGAGTATGTTTCGTACATAGGTGAAATGGTTAAATATGCAATTGTGGACTTGTGGCATAATTAGTGGTAATACATTTAATAATAATAAACTTATTTTGGGTTGTATATTAATTTGATGAAATAAAAACTTAAAACGTATACATCGTATTAAAAATATTTATGTCATAAAATTTAGATACTTGAATAAAAATATTTATGTCATAAAATTTGACCTCTTCCATTGTGCGTGTGACTTAGTGAATTAATCGGCGCAAACAAAAGTTTAATTTGCATTTGGTTGTTTGGTGAATATATACATAATAATGTAGATCATGGGAAAATATTGCTATAATATGGTTGGGATTTCAAATTTGTGAGAAATTATACTTTTGGTAAAAATTTAGTATATACAGTTAATATGTTTTTGAAACCAAACTGCAACGGAATTGACTTTGTTGCAGATTTCCGTAGCAATACAAACTCATTGCAAGTGAGTACTATTTGCAATGACCGGTTCCTCTATTGCAAATCCATTGCGGATCTCTAATTATGCAACAGAATAATATGGCATTGCAATTTCTCTTGCAATTGTTGCAACATTGTTATCCTCTCATTGCAAAAACTGTTGCACCATATTTTCCCTCCATTTCCCGGTCACATTTGCAATGAATATATTTTTCATAGCAATATTCATTGCAATATTGCGACTATTTCATATTATGTTGCAAATGCCATTGCATTGTTGCAACAAAGATGAGTTTGTTGCATAGTCCCGTTGCAAAACTTGTTTTTTCTAGTAGTGTAGACTTAACATGTTTTTGAAGTCAGTGTTCAAAAGCAGACTTATGTAATCATTTGTTGTACATCTGTACATAAAACTCTCCTAACCATTAAGAATTATTCACAAGTTTATTCACAAGAAAATTGATGTCACTCAACATCACTCCCTACTACATGGATATGCATTTACTATCTTTGATTGAATTGTTGTATGCTAATTTTTAGGGCATATATAGGATTTTGAACATAATAAAAGGATCTAGAATTTGTCTAAACTGGTATGAAGTTAAAGTAAGTTATATACATTGGGTTTTATTATATAATTTGATTGTTTTTCAGAGTAATTTGATTTGTGTATTATGATTTAGAGTCCTCAACACTCACAAACACAAAAAAGAAAAAGAAAAAAAGTGTTGCTATTATGTGATGAGATTAATGTTTGATATCTCACTTGGATTGCTAGGAAAAAATCTATACAAAATGTATTACCTATATTCACATGTTTATTACGCTTATGTTTACGAGAAAAATTCTCACTTTGATAGAAGTCATGTAATCCAAAAATATTGATACAAAGCTCATTATTTTGTATGTCGCAGCTTCTTCCTCCAGAACAACATTCATGGAAGCAAATAGATGAGATTAGAGATATTTTGTATAGTATAATTACACTTCCTCCAGAAACTAAGGTTTTGGATATTACTTGAATTGCTTTAGCCTTGTAATGGTTTCTTATGTATTTTTAGTAAACCTTTATAATTTGATGTTGTAGTCTTTTATCTATTTTTGGTGGAGCACCTTGAAGGGATATCAGCAAAAGCCCCCTTCCATTCGTTAGTTATTTGAAATAAAAATACCACTTTTATGTGATTATTAAAAAAAACTTTATGAGTCACCTACACCATAAAAGCGATGTGTATAGTAAATGTAAAAAAAACTTTTAGAATCACCTCAATAGAATATAAGTGACGTGTAAAGTGATTAATTGCATCGCCTAAAGTGCGATGCAATAGACGGGTTACCTTATGCATTAGTGGCTATTGTATCACCTCTAAAGCGATGCATAAAAGAAGTTTATAGGCGACTCAAAAAAGGTTTTTTGTAGTAGTGTTTGAGAAGATATATTGGTCAAACGTGAGTTTTTTTTGTATCAATCTTTTCTTAAGAAGTAAAAATCTGGAACAAGTGATCAACCGGTCAAAGAACAACAACAAAAGGTGATGACGTGCAAATGTAGAATTATTCTTCAGATCGGTTATAGTCAATTAGGAAATGTGATATATTTAGTCTCCATTTTGTTTTTTAGTTTATGCTGATTTTTCTTTTAGATACAAAGTATATTATATACAACAAATTTCAATCTACAACCAAACCATCATTGATTATAACAACTAGTAAAAATATGTTAAATTGTACTCCCTCCGTCCCGTTAAGATTGTCCAATTTTACCTTTTCGGTTCCTTCCACTAAGATTGTCACATACCAACTTTGGCAAAGTTTGAGTGACTCTAAATCATTCTTACTTTATCAATTTAATATCAACCACATAAATCACTTTTTATTGGTTTGCGTGTCACTCTCTTGTTCCATCGTTAGTGGGACGGAGGGAGTAATACTTTTTAAATTTACATTATATTTTTATTAATAAAATACAATTATTCCTATTTTGATTTATATTATAGCAAAAAAAAATAGTAAGATCTTTGTATAAATACAAATGAGATCATTATTTTTTGTTGAATTTCTTTTTTGTGTAAATTTTTTGTAAGATTCTATATTATAATAATCCTATTTTATTTTGCTAAGGTATACTACTCCTGCGGAGTATTAGTTTTATTCTTAGTTTTTTAGCTTATGTTTTTCAAAATTTTAACTGTGATTTATATTCTGAATTTGTGATGTAAATTTTTTACTGTTTATAGCTGCCATATTTTTAGATTAATGTTATGTTAATTAATGTGATTATCATAGGCTTTTTCTAAAGAAATTTATTTAGACTTTTTAGTTGTCGCGTTATTATGATTAATGTGAATTTGTGATCATGTGTATACATGTTCATTATGAATTTTAATGTCATTTTAGCTGTCATGTTTATATTAATGTGAATATGTGATTTTCACATTTTTAGTTGCTATTTACTTTGTTGATTAATGCAACAAAGGTCTAATGACCATTTTTCACATTTAGTTTTATTTGGACAAGTGAATATTTGTGCCTCACTAGGTTTCAATTCTAGTATTATTACATCATTTTATATACATACATGTAATTTTATACCTTTAATAAAATTGGATGTTCAAGTATGTTTACTTTGGAACAAGAGTAAGTTCTCTTTTTTATATAAAATTATCCAAATTTATTTATATAACATCACCATGGGTGGATTCTAAAATTTACTTCTTCGGATACTGTAATAAATTTTATGAATTTTCAGATAAAATAATTTTTATTGGCTTTCCAAATATGTCTTTTCTCAAAAGTATGATGGGGAAAACAATCAGTTAACGATGTATTTTTCATATATGTAAGACGCTATTTTATGACTCAAATATCACCCAAAAGAAAAGTAGGGATTTGATTCACAGGTATTTCAAAAAATAAAGTGAGAACTTAATTGCTGAATGGAGAGAATAAATATTTGTAAGAGAATAATTATTGGTGTATCAATAACTATATTACTATATTTGTATTAAAACCTACAAAAGAGCCTCGTCGAGCTCTCGCTCGAGTGTAGGGTTTAGATTGGTAACCGACAACCTTCATTGTAGAATTTTGGCTATCCGTAAAGCGGATTTCCCTCATTATATAGATCAATGAAGGAAACGACACGGGGTTATCGGAGGCAGCAAATCGGGGCTTCATACATCTCTAGGCGAAGATCGACGAGTCTCCCGATCGTAAGGGTCTGCAGTGGTCAACGAGGTTGAGTATTAGTTTTTGACATTAATCAAGCTCTTAATTTGATGAGATGGAAGGTGCTAGAGCAGACTTGTGGGGGGGGGGGGGGGGGGGGTCAATTGCGAAAGAAGATGAATGGGTTGTGTTAGAGACTGGTCAAGGTTTAATAGTTCATGATACAAGACTCTCTCTTGTCGGCACAATTGCATCTGAAAGGATGGTACATTTCTCTCTTTTTTTAGCGATAATAGTGGCTAGCTATTTGGAAACTAGTTAAGAGAGCATATATTACAGATTTAGGGGCAAAACGTTAACTATTCCAATTTATCACGAGGTTGATATAACCAGAGTCTTGAATGATAGCCATTGGCGATTTGAGTCAAAGATTAATTTTATTGGGTAATTTTATGGATGAGGACCTTCCCCTATCTATACCGTTACATCTTGTTGGTTTTCGGGTTCAGGTGCACAAATTGCTAGTGGGTTTTTTATTTTCATAAAATGCTAAAAGAATAGGGAACCATATACGCGTTTTATACGGGTTGATGAGCGTACCTTGGGGAATGTTTGGAGACCATTTGTGCGAATTAGAATTACCTTAGATATTGGTAGACCTTTCAAAAAGAAGTTGAAGTTAAAGAAGGAAGGAAGGTTTCCGATAGAGTTTCGTTATAAACAGTTGCGAAGCTTATGCTTTTTGTTAGATGGTTTAGAGAGACCATACTGACCATGTCTTAGAGGCGAAAGGGAGAAACAACAAGCAAGAGGGGGGAATAAGTGACTGGTCACTATTAGGGAATGGAAGGAAAAAAGTAAAGCCAAGAAAAGAAATACTTCTGATTCCAACCACTTAAGTGAGGACGATACCATGGTGAATATTTTGGTTGTGAAGGAAAGACTATGTATACTAGAAGCGACTGGAGCAAGGAATATAATGAAGGTAAATTTGATCATAAATGAAGACGTATGGAGTATGATGAGGATAGGAGTGTGGACACAAACATGTAAATCAAATTGTTTGGTCCAAACATGGAAAGGTGGCGAGTGGGGATGAGTAAGCTCTCCGAGCATGTTGAGCATCGTGAGCGGTGGCTGCCAGTAATGGACATGCAAGCTGCCATATTAGTAAGAGATTTAATTTTTAGTTTTTTATTTTGTTAGTTATAATTTGAAAATTGTGTTGTTACAATTTGAGAGTTTTATTATAGTGAGTGCTACTGGTGTGATACCATGTGAGAAACTAAAAGTATGAGGGCTTAATCCGGCTGGTAACCTTTAGACACACACACACTAAAATATGTTCCCAAAAGTACATAGGAGTACGAGAGTAAATAATAGTAATAATAATAAAAAATCTACAATATTAGTTAGAAGTACTAAAGCTATAGGAGCCAGGCATTTCATTAAAACTTTCGTATGATAACAATTTAACAAGAGAATTTTAGGAAATGAGTCTAATAAGGAAATGAGTAACAAATTTTAGGAAATGAGTCCTTGTTCTAAAAATCGATCCAGACAAGTTGATTAATTGGAGCCTTGACGCTAAGGAGTCCCTAAAAACCAGGCTAACCACCAATCAGTCGATATCTAGATGCTAGGTGCTCCTCAATTAAAAAAAAAAGTTTTTTCCACTTTTGATCCCCCGACTTTAGTGGTTGGGACTATTTTAGTCCCCGTCTTTTGTTTTTCCCAGATTTGGTGCACAACTATTGAATATTTCCCAGTTTTGGTCATCCGGTTGATTTTTCCGGGCAACTGCGTAGTAAATATACATAGGTGTGATACAACAATAGTAAGGATTACATATATCTACTAAGGTAATCCTTTTAAAGACCATCATAGCATTCCATACAAATTGAAAGGCAGTAGGTTTTGGGATTAATAGCTAATAACGGGGATGAGTGTGAGTAGAAGGAAAAGACTGTTTTGCATAGTTAGCCGGAAAAATCAACAGGAGGACCAAAATTGGGAAATATTTCATAGTTGTGCACCAAACTTGGGAAAAACAAAAGACGAAGACTAAAATTGTCCCGACCACTACAGTGAGGGGACAAAAAGTGGAAAAAACTTTTAAAAAAAGCAATGATATACTTCTATCGTTTTTACTATTGAAAATTTGAAATATCTGCTTCAATACACATTATACACCGTCTTTCATTCGGTGGACTTCTATAGAAATTCAGAAATAAAGAAGTGAATGAAATAACTGAATACTTGGGATTGGGAGACCCAAACTCACTTTCCTAAAATTGGAAATACAGCGTACAAGATCTGGAAACATGGATCTGCAGTTCTTCCGCGTATATATTTCGAATGGGAATAGCCGCCCCTCTGCAAAACCCAACACCCCCTGTTTTTGTCCACCAATTCCTTTCACCAATTAGTTTAATTCTCTTTCCCGACAGCGCCCTAGTCTAACCTCTCGCCTCCTTAACATACTCATGGCTGGAGAAATCAACGGGGACGCGCCGAATCCCGGCGGCCGGAAGAGTTTCTTGGATATGGCAGGGAGTCTAGGGCATGAGCAGCTTCTGGAAGTTCTATCCGGTGGATTATGCGAATGCTGTGAATCTGTTCTGCAATCGCGAATTGAGAATCTAAAAAAAAGTAAGGATTCAACTTTTGGCATCTTCCCTCTCATTGGGTGGGCTTTAATTGTTTAAATAATGTATGATTATATATCTTGCTAATATTTGATTGATGTATTGTTCCTTGATAATTGATATCCTTATAATAGGTTTAATTTGTATTTGCTTTCGTGATTCTCTTAATTTTTTCATATTTTACTTCCAGAAGCCATGGGTACTATTTCCAGCACTGCTGGTTTCATTTTTATTTAGGACTTTTTTTGCTGTTTATTTGCTCACGCGAGTTTCTTTGACTTTTGAAGGCAAAACAAGTGAAACATCAATATCAACTAATGATGGTAAAGATGACAATACCGAATTCTTATCTGCTGATTCATCAGACTTGACTTCCAGAGACAGTAGATTAGATCCATCTTCCCCTGCATTTACTCCGCTGGGTCGTCCATGGGCGATTGAACCAAATTACTTGAATCGGCTCAAGAAGTTAGTTTCTAACACCACAGAATCAAAATCTGGCATATCATCTGAGACAGCTTCCAGTGCTAAAAGATTAGATTCATCCTCTCCATCAGGGAATCCTCAAGGAATTGAACAGAGTTACTTGAAGCAGGTGAAGAAATTGGTTTCTGATTCATCATCATCGCCAATGTCCGTAAATAGCAAACCAAAACCTGCCAGCGACCCAAACATTAGTAATCCAAACATTGACATAACTCTTGATGATGGACTTAGTAATAGGGAAGCATCAGTGGATGACAAGGGGTTATCTGAGGAGCAAAAGGAACACATTAGATTTTCACAAGTCAAGAGGAAGAAGGACTTTCTCCATTATGAGAGGATTGAGGGTAAAAGGGTCAATGTACTTCAAGGCCTTGAGTTGCACTGTCAGGTTTTCAACGCGGCTGAGCAAACAAAGATTGTTGAATCCGTTTATAAATTCCAGCGTATGGGACAACAAGGGAAGCTTAGAGGTGGGTACCTACTCCCTAACTTTCTGTTTTTTCTTTAATAAGTTTTTGACCATCTTTTCGCTCCTTGGTTGTTATTAATATTGGTTTGTGATGAGACAAATGTGAAATATCCAATGTTTTCTTGATATATCGGTTTGCTAATTCTTAATATTCCCGCTTTCAGTATAGATATCAATTGCTCTGTGCATAATGATAATATTAATATGCTGCTATTTTCAAATGCACAAGTGTCTGCTGGTTATCATTACCCATCTGACTGACCGAGTAACTTTTTACAGAAAGAACATACACAGAGCCCAGAAAATGGATGAGGGGTAAAGGGAGAGCAACAATTCAGTTCGGTTGCTGTTATAACTACGCAGTGGTAAGTCACTTATACTGTTTCGGTGTTTCCACCACTTGGCCATTTTTAAAAAATTAGCCGTATCATTTATTTCGTGTATTATTATTTTGTAATAGGACAAAAATGGGAACCCTCCGGGGATACTAAGAGAGGAAGAGGTAGACCCATTGCCTCCTATATTCAAGAAAATGATCAAACGGATGGTGAGGTGGCAGATATTGCCCCCGACATGTGTCCCTAACAGCTGTATAGTTAACATATATGATGAGGGAGATTGCATTCCTCCTCATATAGACCACCATGATTTTGTTAGACCTTTCTGCACTGTCTCGTTCTTGTCAGAATGTAACATTCTTTTTGGCTCAAATTTGAAGATCATTAGTCCTGGAGAATTTTCCGGTCCTGTATCTATACCTCTGCCAGTCGGGTACGCTTTCAAATCTCAGAACATCATATTCTTGGAAATAGGTGAAACCATTCGTTAACTTTATTTAAGATGTTATGTTCAGCCATAATAACTTGTGAATTTGTGTGATACAGGTCAGTGTTCATTCTACAAGGTAACGGGGCTGATGTTGCAAAGCATTGTGTACCTGCTGTTCCTTCTAAAAGGTAAAAATCTGGCAGTAACAAATACTTGAATTACAGCTATTATATGAATTGTGCAGTTGTGCATGAGTACACCTTTGTTTTTAATTCATGGTCAGTTTGGAACCCAAAAGTTGCCAAGGGAAGAAAGTAGTGAGAAAAGAGGGGAACTTAGGAATGAATGAAAACTATTTTCTTTATCATTTTTGTCCAACATAACCTTATTGCTTTTTATTGCAGGATTTCTGTTACTTTCAGGAAAATGGATGAAAGTAAATTACCTCACACTTTCAGACCTGACCCGGAGCTTACAAAGATCATGCCGATTGTTCATCGTCCCCTGGGCAAAGAATCATCGATCAAACACATCAATGGCAGCAATGGAAGTGTGGCTACCACAGAGATAACAAACTTGAACAACCTCATTTCTAATGACGAATATCCTCCCCTTGGAAGCATCAGGTCTTCTAAGATCCGTAGTAGCGGAAGAGTTTGATAATATTTCTGTCCATCAAGGGAATCTGGATGTAAACTAGTGTTTTTGTAAAATGTATTGCTTGTTTTAGCACATTAAACATTTTTATCATTTGTGGATTTTATTCTATTCGTGAAGTAATAAGGCAAAATAAGGCTGAAAATTATACCGTTGTTCTGAATGCAAGTGTAACTCATAAATTTACTGCGGATAGTAATTTTGTAAATTTTTGCGTTACGACTTACGACTTCAAGAGCTTACGGCTCTTCATTTTCTCCTGAATTATACAAGCATTCGTTGTTCTGAATGTAAGTGTAACTCATAGATTTACTGCGGATAGTAATTTTGTAAATTTTTGCGTTACGACTTTAAGAGCTTACGGCTCTTCATTTTCTCCTGAATTATACAAGTATTCGTTTTCTTATCCTTTATTTATTCATGTTTATTTTACTATTACCCCCCCTCCCCCCCAAGGATGGTCTCTTGCATTTGAATATTTCATGGTTTATTTTCATCTTACTAAGTTACTATATACTCGTAATATTTAATACGGAGTATACCTTATTACCCTTGTCAATTTATACCCATGATACATGCGAATGCACAAAATACCGCTAATTGAAATGGAAGTATGGAACGTTCAATTCTCAAATAGGATTTAATTAGGCTTGGACTCGGGCCGGGTGGCCCGACCCGGAACCGGCCAGGGACCCGTCCTGTGCTGAACCGGCCCGGTGGCCCAACCAGTGACCGGTCCGGGTTAGGGATGGACTAAATCGGGCTGGCCTGGCCCGCTACTGTGCGGACCCGGACCGGACCGGGACCGGTTGGCCGGTTCCGGGCTTTTAGCCCGTTTGGGCAGGTCGGGCGGGCCGGGCTCGAGCCCAGTTTTGGGCGAATCGGCCCGGGCGGTTCGGGCAGGGCCCGGGTCATTTTTTTTGTTTTCTCAATTTTTTTTTCTTTTCCTAGGGTAGGGTTGGGTGTTTTGGGGAGGTTTGGGGGTGGGGGTGAGGGGGGGGGGGTCGGGGATAACAAGAAAGCAAAAAAAAAAATAGACATTGAACCGGGCTCGGCCCGGCCCGGCCCGGTTAGGCTCGGACTCGGTATCAACCCGGGCCGGTTCCGGGCCCAAGGATTTGCAAAAAAAGCCTGCTCGGGCCCGGCCCGGAATCGGAACCGGACTAGCCCGGGTCCATCCCTAGTCCGGGTAGGCCATGCCCGTGGGGTTCCCGCCTCCCGGTGCGGGCTCGGGTCACCCAAAAGCCGAACCGGCCCGGCCGGTTCGGGCCTGGTTCCGGGCTTTTTGATTTATTTTTTCAATTTTTTTAACTTTTCGGGTTGAGCTGGGTATTTTGGGCCATTTGGGGCCATTTGGGGGGTTAGCGGTGGGAGGGGGGTTAATTAAGAAAAGGGAAAAAAATTAAAAAGAGACCCGGCTCGGCTCGGACCCGGACCGGACCCGGACCAGACCGGACCCGATGGCTACCGGGCCGGTCCCGGGCCCACTTGTAATAACCCGGAGACTCGGCCCGAGTCCAAGCATAGATTTAATGAATTGACAACTTCTTGAATAGACATTTTTTTGTAACATTATTTCCATTTGATATGGTTTATATTACTTATAATTTAAACGGATTAAAAGTACTACTAATACCAACAAAATGCATCTCCTTTTAAGAATGTTCATAAGCTAAGAATTTCAAAGTTAAGCGTGTGCGCGAAAGTAGTCTTGGGGGTGTTACATGAGTGAGCACAAAGTGCGCGAAAAAGGGCAGTGACGGTTTGTGAGAACATTACTAGAGATATATTTGTGATCCTATGGGGGGTGTTACATGTGATATCAGAGCAACTCTGCTACAGTGTGTTGATCCATTTGACATCGGTGTTCACTTATTTTTAAATTGTAATTTTTTAATATATTTCTGTTGTTATTTAAAATTTATTTTATCTAATTGAAGTCAATCAAGGTAAATTTGTCCCTTTATAAGAATATGAGAGGTATTTTTGAACTTTTAAAAATTCAGAGTACATATGCACTTCAACCTATACTTGAGAGATATTTGTCGGGAAAATAGATTTTACGGAATATAAAGTAGGACAACCAACTGAACCCATGGGCCACACGACTAATTTAGGGCGAAAAAGGAAATGGGCTCAATAGATCATCATCAACACGTGTCCAATCTGAACTGATTTCAGCTCTAGAGCACACGTGTCATTTCTCCGGTTATTATTCTCAACTTCTGTCATCAACTCTAAACTAATGAGTACTCGAAAATTGAAGAGAGACAAGAGGAGCTATTATCGTTTCCATAGGCCTGGATTTAGTGAGAGATAGAAAGTTAATAATGGCAGAGGCTAGAGAGAAGGATGATGGGACTATTATTGAGGCATCCGTTTAATCGAAGTTGAGTTGGCTGAGCTGTTAGGTCAACTCAAAATCAGTTCAAGCCGAAGAGGTTCGATGATCGGTTCTCTTCTCTAACTTGATCTTCTTATTACTTCTGGAGTTGATAATCTTCAATTCTCCCCGAGTTCGACATTGTGCTTTTCGTAGATGAGTTGTCTCCGTTTTCGATCGATATTCGTCCAAAATCACATGAATGGTTATTGCTACTTTATTCACATGCGAATATATGATACTTCCGTTTTGCAATTATATAGCTGTTTGACTCTCTGGAATCGTATTTGCTTGTTGATGAGTTAACTTCGGAGTTATATTTAGTGTTGGAGACTTCGAGTGAGTTGCAAGGCACAAGTCAGTTTAATGTATTTCCTTATGAATGAGAAGATACATTGTTCAGTGCGGATATCTAAATTTAATTTGGAAGCATAATGAGTAAGTTTTGTGTTGGCCAAGTTTTTGATTGAATTATTTGGTATTATAGGAATGTAGTGATAAGTTTTTAACTAATATCTCATATGTAAGTTCATGTTAAGCAAGGCCCAAACTAATATGTGATTAAGGCTTGGATGTTGCTGTTGTATAGGAATGTAGTAGGGCTGTAGGGGTAGGCAAACGGGTACAGGAACCGTGTTTCGGGTCAGGGAACACAGGTTCAGGACAGGTTAAGGTCGGGCATTCCAAAATTTAGGTTTCAACGTGCAACTCAACTATATTGTCGTATTTTCTGCAGGCACCACAGACTAATTTCCTTGAGCTACGATGGATACCTTCCAATTCTTTTAACTCTTTACTTTTCCCAATTCCATGAAGAAACCTGCTACTGAGGATGACTCTGAGTTTAATCAATAGTGTATAGCTGAGGCTTATCCTCCATTCCCCATTTCAGGTTCTTTAACCTATCAATCTGAATTTTGATTAGTTGATTCTCGATAAAGTATTGATCTCATTTGTGTTTGAGAATGTTTGAACTATGTATTGAATTTTGATGAAATGATTCTCGGTAAAGAGACCAAATGCTTTGATTTTGATCAAATGATTCTAAGAATCAATTGATTGAATATGCATTTAAGTACGTTAGATATATAGTGAATAGGTGCTCTGGTTTAGAGTCTTAATACTGGTAATAACAAGATAGTTACTTTTTAGTTACTAAAATTATGGGTGGTTTTAGAAAGAACTCATGCAATGGTGAACTTCTATTGATGGCTAGATTTACCAAACCATGGTTCAATTTACAAATAGAATGCAGGTCCTTTTTTATAAAAATGCATGTTCTAATCAGTCGTTCACTTATATTTTTCATGGCCAATTTCATTGCTAGGATACAAATGATTAGATGTAGCCTTCTTTTACAATATATAGTGATGATTACATGTGGCCATAGATGATTATATTTAGCTTTATTCACTTATTTAGCTTTTTACAGTTATATATTTATAATTTTCATTTGGGGTTTGAAGCATTTGGACATGATACAACTATGTTTGTTTCCTTTATTTAACACATCATAACTACACATTCCTCGTATGAAGAAAGCTGCCTTCATTTATATTCTCTCTTTTGTCCATTCTTTTCCTGGAATGGTGGATTTAGGTCTTATTTGTCCAGCCATCATTAATCAACAGAGAGGCGTTTTAGATGGACTCTATCTTTATAAACAAATTGAGCATTGTGTATCTTATCATACTTTCAGTGATTTTGAAACTTGAAAGTGGACTACGTTGCTGTTTTTCTAGAACTGGGTCGAATTTGGAAGTCAGATAAATAGGTCTTGTGTTGTTATTTTAAATAGTATTGGCTACTCCGTACTTTGTTATTCTTAGTTTTACCAAGACATTTTGTTCGGTGAATTTAATGATTTTTATCACCTATTACTTTAGAAATAAAATTAATGCAGTGGTTTAGTCTCACACTCTCGCATATTTAGGATTAGTTTAGAAAATTTATTTATTTAATTTAAGTTCAAAAGTTCAAATTTTGTTTATTTTAAGGTGAAAATATATTTATTTAAAACAAGAACTGGAAACATGGATCGAACCGACTTGTTTCACAACGATGAGGGTAAGGTCCAGTTCCTATTATGAGAATTGTTATACATGGCCCGGACCTACCTGTTTAGTGGAACCTAGGGTTTTTAAAAATTGACAGATAACCTGCCCCTACCTGACCCATGCCAACCCCTAGAATACAGTGATCTCTTTCCGTTTAAGGATTTTGTTTCTTGAATATTTCTTTTTTGTTTCTAACATTTGAGATCTATTAGCAGTTTTGGAATTTATAACAAATAACCGAACTGATAGTCTTCCTCTTGATGTCATGAATTTAAGAGTGCACATTTTTTGTACTTAAATACCTGGCCAGCGGTTAACTAGAGCAGTTACTATCGGCGAATTGACTTGGACGGCAAAGCTGAAATCCTAGCGCACTTAACTTAATTTGTACGGGATTCTAAAGACTCTATATGTAGCATAAACACTAGGATAGATTCTTCTTTTCAATGCCGATATTCTGTAGAAGATTTGTGCTGTTCAATTGTGCTTTGCGCTACACATTTTGTGTGTGTGAATATGAATGCACATTTCCCTCATTCTGCCATAAAGTTTTACCTGACTGGATTGGCTTGCAGAGGGACATCAAGAAACAGCTGGGGCGTTTATGTCTAATCATTGATGGAAAGGTATAAAGCCAGTAAGCATCGTAGTTCATCTTTTTAATGATGAGATAGTATATAGATTGTGATGACTTAGTTATCTGTCGCTTCTATTATTCTGCAGGACTACTGAAAAGGTTTTCCCAAATGGAGACATCTATGTGGGTACTATTAAGGGAGTGCTACCCCATGACAAAGGTAAATATACATGGTCGGATGGAACTATTTATGATGGTCATTGGGCAGAAGGAAAGATGGACGGGAAAGGGTGGATCATCTGGTCATCAGGATCTAGTTATGAGGGTGACTTTTGTGTAAATTACCTCCATGGCTATGGTGCCTTTTATGGTTGTGATGGCTCTATATACAGAGGTTCGTGGAAGATGAATAATAAACATGGCATCGGAAGAAAGGAGTATCACAATTCAGATGTTTATGATGGTTGTTGGAGAGAAGGCGTACGCGAAGGTAGTGGTAGATATGCATGGAGTAATGGGAACTGTTATATCGGGAATTGGAAAGATGGAAAAATGTATGGTAGGGGTGTTATGAAGTGGTCCAATGGAGATATTTTTGATGGTTTTTGGTCAAATGGGTTAAGAAATGGGTCGGGCTGTTACAGATTTGCTGATGGAAGTTACTTTTTTGGGACTTGGACTAAAGGCATAAAAGACGGGCGCGGAACTTTTTATCCTTCTGGAAGCAAGCTGTCCTCTCTGGATAAGACCAAGATTGATAAACATCAGGATTTTATAAAAAGGATGTTGTCCCATAGCTCATCATTGAGTGCAGACATGTTAGATAGACCTCAAGTGAGGCGTAGTCTTTCTGAGAAGATCTCTGATAGTTTTGGAATAGTGCCTGGGAGAATGCCACATAGGACTGCATCGCTTGTGGGAGACTCTATTCTTGATGACTGTAGAGAGATTTTACCTGAAGATCCTCCCTTTTGTATGTTATCCCACAACTCATTAGGCAGCCAGAGTAATTTCTTGGACAATGGTACTTTGGCTTATGAAAGAGAATACATGCAAGGAGTCCTTATCAAAGAAAGGGTCAGAACTGTAACCAGACGACTATCCTATAAAAGTAATCAGAGTTGCAGGTTTCATGCAAAGGAAGTGAAAAGGAGTTTAAGCATGGACTTCTTCAAAGGTCTTAAGAGCTACTACTTGATGCTTAATTTGCAGCTTGGTGTTCGGTAAACTTTGAATTGTCTTGGATATACTTACTATCCTTTTGTTTTCTTGTGTTTTTTACGGTAAACTTTCGAGTTAATTTTTTTTAAGTCTACAGGCACTCTGTGGGTAAGATCACGCCTGTTCCTCTCCGAGGAGTGAGACAATCTGATTTTGGAGAGCGGGCTAGGATAAAGATGTATTTTCCTAGAAAAGGCTCCCAATTGACACCGCCCCACTATTCAATTGACTTCTTTTGGAAGGACTACTGTCCTATGGTTTTCAGGTAGTCAACATCTTCAGAACCAATCTTCTATTGATGTTTGTTTCATTTCATTTCATTTCATTTTCATTTACCCCAGTGCCGCCAAGGCTCCCACCTACGTTGGGGTAAGGGGGGTCAGATGTACGCAGTCTTACCCCTGTACTAAAGAACAGAGAGACTGTTTCCGCAAAGGCTCCCACCTATTGATGTTTGTTTCATTTAAACTTTGAAATTATCTCATAAATCATAATGCAAAATGAATCGTCGGAATCTTGAGAAGTAGTCTGATTTAAATATTATGTCCAGGAATTTAAGGGAGTTGTTCAGGTTAGATGCGGCAGAGTACATGATGTCCATTTGTGGCGATGATGGGTTGAGAGAGTTTTCCTCTCCTGGAAAAAGCGGCAGTATTTTTTATCATTCTAGTGATGACAGATTTGTGATAAAAACTTTAAGGAAATCTGAGCTCAAGGTTTGAATACGTTAAAAGTTACAAAGTACATAGTATATATTTTCATGGGTAGCTAACCTGTTTCAACTCCGAACACTGTAAGGTTGTTAACTGTGATTTTGTTTTACCTAATTGTTGTGTAGGTGCTACTGAAAATGCTTCCATCTTACTACAAACATGTAAAAGATCACGAGAACACACTTATAACAAAATTTTTTGGGCTTCACAGAATATCGTTCAGAAGAGGGAAAAAGGTACACAATATCCATGAGTCTTGCTTTTGATTGCCGGTGTGGACTCTAATCATATATGCATTTGGTTGTTAGGTACGCTTTGTTGTCATGGGGAACATGTTCTGCACTGAACTACATATACATCGACGCTATGATTTGAAGGGTTCGTCTCATGGAAGATTTACAAACAAAGATAAAATTGCTGAGGGTACTACATTGAAGGATCTTGATTTGAAGTTTGAGTTTCATATGGATAAATTATTACGCGAAATACTTTTCAGGTAACGCCTTTTCCCTCTTTCTCGAACTTGTTTGGACATGACATGGTGAAGCAGTTAACTAAAGAAAGCCAATAACAAAGTCAATCTAAAGAGTAAAGATATGTCTAAACCTGAACATGCTACATTACTGCTTTCTAGAATAGCATGCAAGTCAAACAAAAGCGTACACTGGAGTGGAGTATTTCAGCCAATTTGCCTACCCTTGCTAGCTGGTAGGATAATGATTGCACACTATGTTGCACGGAAACGCGAAAATCACGAGGAAACGGGAAACATCAACTTTTGCTCAAAAAAACGCTTGTTTGGAAAGCTTCCAAAGAGTTTCCGAAACAGAAATGTACTCTTTCCCGAGAGTTTCTGTGCTACATAGATATTTGCACGTGCTTCCTAAAAAAAATACAAATGTAAAAAAGAAGCTTCTTTGTAGCTGACAGTTTCCCTGTTTAACAGCTAAGAAAAGATAAAAATTGAACTTATTATAGGTTTCTCTTAGGGTTTATTTGGAACTTGGAAAATGATGAACGAAACTAAGGAGGAATATATGAGGGAAATATGAAAGAAAAGAAATATGTGAAGGAAAAATGAAACACTGGTTTCAATTCAACAAATTCATTTTAGATATTTGTTCTAGCTCATTTTATTTAGGGAAAACTATCAAATAGTCCCTCCTACTATATCAGTTTGAGCAATTAAGTCCATGTACTAAATAAACACCCAATTGAACCCATTAACTCATGAAAAACAATCAATTAACATTATTAGCAGGTCAGCTCCAGGTTACCGGTTTCAATTCGTGAGGTGGATTTTTTCACTTTATTTTTTCATTTTTATTCTTTTTATTTGATTTTCCCTCCACTGCTCCGTATTTTTTCGTTTTCCTTTCTGTATCCATCGTCTCCATTTTTCCTTTCTCTTTCTTGGTTCTTTCACCGTCTTCCCTTCTCCTTCTCCAAATAATTCAAACGCCATTCATTTCTCATATCTTGACTTTTAAGTTTTCACCCCCTCCCCCCTTTCATTTTCCTCCCCCGTTCATCTTTCTCCCTCGAATAAAGATATCAACATTTTCAGACCAGATCTCACATTTTCAAACCATTTCAGATCACCATACTTAACATTCTATTGAATAGAGAATAAAAAATAAAAATGAAAAGAAAAGAAAGATGAAATGAAAAATGAAAAAAGAAAGAAAGAAAAGATCGAACCGAATGTAAACATAAGCAAGAGAAAGAATGAGACTGGTAGTGGGAAGGACGGGAAATCTTTTCTACTGCTATCAAAATGCAATTTTTACTTATTTCCTTTTTGTTCATTCCATTTGATGCTCTTGTATCACTATTGTTCCATTGAATGTGGATTATTGACTTCATTCCACATATTCGATGTCTGTTTCAAATCCGTACATTTTTTGGATATATAGGTGTATAGCTATCTTGTACCGGGATTCTTGAAATGGCTTCTTGTTTTCTAGGGTTCATAAGTCCAAATAGATGAGATTGGGTGAATCACATAAAGATTTATGCTCGGGTTGGCTTAGGAAACGAACAGAGGCCGGAGTAGTTGAGTGAGTATAAATTGTATAACCCACTTGTGTTTTTTCTTTGATAAATAGAAAAAGAAAAGAAATTGTAAAAATTGTACTAGTGAAAGAAAGAGGTAATTCATAGTCATTATTATTGCTTGGTCACGAGTTGGAGGAACAGAGTACTGTTCATGAACGAGGTTGGATAGAAGAAGACGAAGGATGGACCGGGAATAGAATACCTAATACACCAACGAGAGAGAAGATAAACAAAATTAAATGAAAAACAAAAAACAAAGTGATGAGGTGGATACCAATTATGCGCCAACAAGACAGGTGAATGGACAAATTTATCCACATAGGCTAAACAACCTGATAAACCGGAAGGTAACCTTCAAAATGGAGGAATTGGGTGATATTTTGTAGTTGATGGGTTTGATCGGGTGTTATTTTAGTACGAGAATATACTTGACCACTTTGCTATACTAGGAGGGCATATTTGACAATTTTCCCTTTTATTTATCTTTTTCTATTATGTAAAGACTAAGAAAACTATCCAACTAAAGAAGACCAAAAGCTAAATACAAGTATTTTTTTAAAAAACACCAAATTATAATTCATTATCCTTTTGCATTTTCCGAGGTAAACCTGTAGAAAAATGTAGCATATTCATGTTATTTTATTATGTGTACATCCGAAACTGTATAGATAGGAAGTAGAGTTAATTTAGAACTCTAACTCTTAGATTAACACGCAGTGTAGATAAGAATAGATAGATCCTAAATATTAGGATCTGTAACAACTTTAGCTTATCTGTAATTTTGTATTTATATCATTGCCGGATGGCTCAATAATATATGGAAGATTAATTCTTCAAACCTACATGGTATCAGAGCCTCGGTTTAAACAATGGTAGAAACCAGTGAAGCTGATTCCTCACACACTACTAACCCTAACTCCCAAATTAGCTCTATGACAAATTACCAGTCTCCTATTCATTCATCTATGATAATCACTAGTCATAGATTGAATGGAACAAACTATCTGGAGTGGTCTCAATCTGTCAGACTTGCAATTGATGGGAGGGGAAAGCTGGGTTACATCACAGGAGAAATCCAACCAAAAATACCTGCAGAAGAAGGGTACAGTACATGGAGGTCAGAGAATTCACTCATAACAGCTTGGCTTCTCAACTCCATGGAGCCCCTAATTGCCAAACCTCATATGTTTATGAAAACTGCAAAGGAGGTATGGGATTCTATTAAGGAAACTTATTCAGACCTTGAAAACTCTTCTCAAATTTTTGAACTCAAAACCAAATTGTGGCAATCTAAACAAGGAAATAGGGATATTATTTCATACTACAATGAAATGGTATCTCTGTGGCAAGAATTAGATCAATGCTATGATGATGAAGAGTGGGAGAGTGCTAAGGATCTGGCCAGACATAAGAAAAAAGAAGAGAATGATAGGGTCTATATGTTTCTAGCAGGGATCAATAGGGACCTAGATGAAGTTAAGGGGAGGATACTTGGGAAAAAACCTCTACCTTCTATCAGGGAGGTATTTTCTGAAATCAGGATGGAGGATAGCAGGAAGAAGGTCATGTACAACACCCCAGCACCTAATGAGGAACCTGGGGAATCTTCAGCTTTGGTGGCCAGAAGTGATGACAACAAGAAAAAACCTTGGTGTGATCACTGAAAGAAACTGTGGCACACAAGGGATACATGCTGGAAACTCCATGGAAAACCACCAGGAGCTGGGAAGAAGAAAGTAGAAAGGGCCCTACAAACTACTGTGACCGAGACTCAACAAGAGGCAGGAGTTGAACCTAAACAGCTACCATTCACTCAGGAACAGATAGAGTACCTACTCAGATTCATACCTACCCAGAAAATCTCCAATCCTGAAACCCCTACCTGTTCTTTTGCCCAGAATGGTAAAATAACATCATATTTTTGTTCTGAAAAAACTAAAAACACCTGGGTCATTGACTCAGGTGCAACAGACCACATGACCTATATTCCAAAGTTTTTTTCTTCTTATCAACCTTGTGCAGGAGATAAAAAAGTTAGAGTTGCAGATGGCTCTTTCTCAGCCATAGCAGGGATGGGAAATATTAAAATTTCCTCATCCATTAACCTTTCCAAAGTCTTACATGTTCCTAAACTTTCCTGCAATCTTATCTCTATTAGTAAAATTACTAAAGATCTTCAGTGTTGTGTAATTTTTTTTCCCTCTTATTGCATTTTTCAGGATCTGGCATCAGGGAAGATGATTGGCAGTGCTAGAGAGGAAGATGGCCTCTATACTTTTGATGAAGGAACACAATTGAATAAACAAGGTCAAGAAACAACTTGTTTGCAAACTGTTTTTCCTTGTAATAATGAAGTGTACCTAATGCACTATAGATTAGGTCACCCAAGTTTTTCCTATTTGAAAATGTTGTTTCCTAAGTTTTTTCTTAATAAAAATCCTTCATCATTTCATTGTGATATGTGTGCACTTGCCAAACATCATAGGAGTTCTTACATCCCTCATAGTTACAAACCAACTAGTCCTTTCACTATTGTACACAGTGATATCTGGGGTGCATCTAGAGTTTCAACTCTGAAAGGAAAAAGGTGGTTTGTAACTATCATAGATGATCATACAAGGGTCACATGGGTGTTTTTACTTAAAGAAAAATCTGAGATTGAAGGGGTGTTCAAACAATTTTACTCAATGATCCAAACTCAATTCAACACTAATATCAAAATTGTGAGAAGTGATAATGGACTTGAGTATTTTTCTAAGAAGTTAAATACTTTTTTTGCTGAAAAAGGGATTGTTCATCAAAGTTCATGTGTAAATACTCCTGCTCAGAATGGAATAGCTGAGAGGAAAAATAGACATTTACTTGAAGTTACTCGTGCAATAATGTTTTCTGCCAAAATTCCAAAATATTTATGGGGAGAAGCTGTTTTACATGCTACCTATCTAATTAATAGCTGAAACCAGACTAATTAATTCTCTTCCCATAAAAATTTTTGGGTGCACAGTTTTTATTACCAATCCTGACAGAACTGCAAGTAAATTTGACCCTAAGGGAAAAAAATGTGTTTTCTTAGGACTCTCTTCAACTCAGAAAGGCTATAAATGTTTTGACCCTATAACAAAAAAGATGTTTATAACTATGAACACTGTTTTTGTAGAAGATCAACCTTTTTTTGGTACTCATCTTCAGGGGGAGATTCCTAATGAAGATGGTAATAATGTGTCACATATCCTTGAAAAACTAGAACCTCTTGACATTAATCTAGATGCACAGTATAATAGACAGTTAGATGCACTAGAAAATAGTCAAGAGTCAAAAGAAAATGAATTTTTTTTTTCTGAAACAAGGAAAGATGATGAACAGCAGACAAGTAAGTTTTTTGGCAAGGTTTATGAAAGGAGAGTTCCAAATCACAGAATAGAGGACATCCCTGATCCTGCCACTGTCAATGAATCTGACTCAATGCCAGAAAATGATAAAGGTAATAATTTCAGTGATCTAAATCTACCCATTGCTCTCAGAAAAAAAAGGTCATGTGTTAAATACCCTATCTCAAACTATCTGTCCTATTCTCAGTTATCTACATCATTTGCAGCATTTACCTCTAGCCTTTCCATTGTCTCTATTCCCTTAACCATACAGGAAGCCCTATCTATACCTGAGTGGAAGAAGGCTGTTTTAGAAGAAATGAATGCCCTTGAAAAGAATCAGACATGGCAGACTGTAGAGGTACCCAAAAATAAACCAAGGGTTGGATGCAAATGGGTGTTTACTCCTAAATTCAAGGCAGATGGTACACTTGAAAGATATAAGGCCAGACTAGTTGCCAAAGGATACACACAAACCTATGGCATAGATTATACAGAAACTTTTGCACCAGTTGCAAAATTAAATACTATAAGGATTCTACTATCTCTAGCTACTAACCTAGACTGGCCTCTTCAACAGTTAGATGTGAAGAATGCTTTCCTAAATGGGAAGCTTGAAGAGGAAGTATACATGAGCCCTCCTCCTGGTTTTGAGGAACAATATGGCTCAAAGGTGTGCAAGCTAGAGAAAGCCTTATATGGGCTTAAACAGTCCCCAAGGGCTTGGTTTGAAAGGTTTACTCAGTTCATAAAGAAGCAGGGATTCAAACAAGCCCAAGCAGATCATACACTATTCATGAAATTCTCCATTAAGGGAGAAATTGCAGTACTAATTGTTTATGTGGATGATATAATTCTTACAGGAAACTATTGTGAAGAGATTGAAGACCTGAAGAAGAAGCTTGCTCAGGAATTTGAAATCAAAGACCTAGGAGAATTGAAGTATTTTCTTGGCATGGAGATAGCCAGATCAAAGAAGGGAATTGTGGTATCCCAAAGGAAGTATGTACTAGACCTACTTCATGAAACAGGTATGAGTGCATGCAGACCAATAGATACTCCAATTGACCCTAATCAGAAGTTAGGAAATGTCAAGGAAGGAGTACCAGTTAATATTCACCAATATCAAAGATTGGTGGGAAGGTTGATTTATCTGGCACATACAAGGCCAGATATTGCCTTTGCAGTCAGTATGGTTAGTCAGTTCATGCATAATCCATTCCAAGAACATCTAGATGCTACCTACAGGATCCTAAGATATCTGAAAAGTTGTCCAGGGAAAGGATTATTTTTTAAAAGAAGTGACAATAGAAGTGTAGAAGCCTTTACAGATGCAGATTATGCTGGGTCAATAACTGATAGAAGGTCTACATCTGGATATTGTACTTATGTATGGGGGAATCTAGTGACTTGGAGGAGTAAGAAGCAGAATGTTGTTGCCAGAAGTAGTGCAGAATCAGAATTTAGATCTATGGCTAATGGAATCTGTGAGCTACTTTGGATCAAGAGAATGATGACAGAGTTGAATATGGAAATGGACCTACCTATGAAATTATATTGTGACAATAAAGCAGCCATTAATATTGCTCACAATCCTGTGCTACATGATCGTACTAAACACATTGAGGTGGACAGGCATTTTATCAAAGAGAAGATTGAAGCTGGAATTGTATGCACACCATTCATATCTACTAAAGAACAGACAGCTGATATCTTTACAAAGGGGCTGTTTAAACCAGTGTTTGAGTTTCTTATAAGCAAGTTGGGAATGTATGATATATACTTACCAACTTGAGGGGGAGTGTAGAAAAATGTAGCATATTCATGTTATTTTATTATGTGTACATCCGAAACTGTATAGATAGGAAGTAGAGTTAATTTAGAACTCTAACTCTTAGATTAACACGCAGTGTAGATAAGAATAGATAGATCCTAAATATTAGGATCTGTAACAACTTTAGCTTATCTGTAATTTTGTATTTATATCATTGCCGGATGGCTCAATAATATATGGAAGATTAATTCTTCAAACCTACAAAACCAAACACAATGAAGTAATTTTCTTTGGCAATACTATTCTTTTATGTAGCATTTCCTGTGAGCCAAATATCTTTTTTATCTTTTGTGCAGGCAATTAGCTCTCGACTGCCAGTTTTTAGAAGCACAGCAAATAATTGATTATAGCCTTTTATTGGGGTTGCACTTTAGAGCCCCTGAACATCTCATGGCACTTTTAGAGCCACCTGATTCCATGCACAAAGCTGACACTACTACTAGTACTACTTCAATAAGTGATGGTAAAAATTTATTCCCACCACAATGTTTCAATTTTTCCTTAGTTCCACTCTTATACTTATGTTCCATTTACTATGTTTACTTTTGTTTTAATCAAGGGGTGGCCTCTCAGGGCGAGATGTCAATTCCTCCAAGGGGGTTGCTTTTAGTAACCCATGAACCTTCCGCAGCTAACAATGAACCTGGTCCCCATTGTCGAGGAAATACGTTGAAAGCGTGCTCACTCGGCGATAAAGAGGTTGATCTCCTTTTACCAGGCATGGGAAGGTATTTTTCTCCTTATTAGAAAGTATACAGAGTAGAAAGAGAGAGAAGAAGCTGATCATTATTTCATTGAGTATCTGAAGCAGTATTACAGAGTATATATAAAGTTGGTTAGGTCAACTACTAACTAACACTAACCGAACTCTAACAGATATAGGAATGTCTATTCTAGTGTATATCTAACCTTCCCCCCTCAAAGTGAAGGTGATTGATTTGTAGTATCAACCACACTGAGCTTTGTTCTGAGATCAAGAAAATTGGAGCTGGAGAGTGGTTTAGTTAGGATGTCTCCAACTTGATATGGAGAAGGAATGTGATAGACTTGAAGCTGCTTCAGATGAACTTTTTCTCTAACAAAGAAGAGATCAATTTCCATATGCTTGATCCTAGAATGTAAGACATGATTGTGAGCAAGTTGAACAGTAGTACTCAGATGTAGAAGAAATTGAATCTACTGTAATTCTGCAGTGGTATCAGCTAGGCTTCTGTATTCAGCTTCAGCTGAGGATCTTACTACTCTGAGTTGCTTTCTTGACCACGAGGAAACAATGTTGGAGCCCAGAAATATACATGAGCCAGATGTAGATTTTCTATCATTGGGATCAGATGCCCAGTCTGCATCACAATAGGCTGAGATTGGAAGAGATATGGAACACAAAGGTAGAGGTTTGATGACAAGACCATGTGTAATTGTGCCTGATAGATATCTGAGAATGTGTTTAACTGCAAGCCAATGTTCTTGCAGTGGTGCAGCCATAAATTGGCAAACTTTGTTGACTGAAAAGCATGTCAGGTCTAGTCAGAGTAGCATATTGGAGAACACCTACCACAGATCTGTAGTAAGAAGGGTTGGGAAGAAAGTTATTGCCTTCTTGAGTGAGTTTGCAAGTGCTAACCATGGGTGTTTTTACTCCTTTAAAATCCAGCATACCAGTTTGGGTAAGTAAGTCCTTGATGTACTTAGTTTGAGAGAGATGTAGGCTGCCATCAGGTAGTTTGTGGGCTTCTATGCCCCAGAAAAAAGTCAAGATCTCCCAAATGTTTCAAAGAGAAGGATGAGTTGAGTGATTTAATAAGCTGTTGGATAACAGTAGACTGATTTCCAATCACCAATATGTCATCAACATAGATCAAAATATATATTTGAACATCAGAAGACAAATAAATGAGTAAAGAGGGATCACATTTACTCTGTTTGAAGCCAGTTTGATAGAGAACTGAGGTTAATTTGAGAAACCAAGCCCTTGGGGCTTGTTTAAGACCATACAAAGACTTATGTAACTTGCAAACCAAGGAAGTGTCTTTCACTTGGAAACCTGGAGGCTGAACCATGTAAACTTCTTCTTCAATTTCACCATTTAAGAATGCATTATTTACATCCAGTTGCTGAACAGACCACTTGTTAGACACAACAATTGTGAGAAGGATTCTTATTGTCACAGGTTTGACAATTGGAGAAAATGTTTCTCCAAAATCAGTACCAAACTTTTGATGAAAACCCTTAGCCACCAGTCTGGCCTTATATATGTTTAGGGAACCATCAGGATTTTCTTTAATTCTAAACACCCATTTACAGCCAATTACAGACCATGTTTTGTTAGAAATCAATGCATTGTACTCACACTGCATGGCCTCAAGCCATTGAGGAGAAGAGAGAGCTTGTTTCACTGAGTTAGGCTCAGCATGAGCTAACAGTAAAGTTGGATTAAGCCTTGGTTTTACTATCCCAGACAGGTTTGTCACGGCGTCGCCTAGGCGTCCTGGCACTGGGGACAGGTCGTCAGAGTTACTCGCCTCGCCGGAAGAAGAAAAGGCGCGCCAGGTATCGTCCAGGCGCGATGAAGGTGACTAGTCGACACCTTTTTCCCAAGTCGATCGCAAGCCGAGATCCTAGAGGCTCATAATCCCAAATGCGAAATAAAATAGATTTTAGGAAACTAATTTTTGGAAACTAATTAACTATAAAGCCGCAGGCTCCAAAGCCCCAAAATAATCTACTCGTTATTCCTTAATTAATAAACTTACGAAGTACGAAGCACTGAAGCAGACGACTTCCCAGAACTCCAGGAAGAAGAGGGCGATCTGTCCCTCGCTGAAGCAGACGACTTCCCAGGTTCAGGCGTGTCCCTCGCTGAAGCAGACGACTTCCCAGGTTCAGGCGTTCAGCTCTCTTCTCGATTTCTCGTCTCGTAGTTTCAAATTTTCAATATCTAAAAATTAGTCTATTTGATGGAGCACTCAACTTTATGTTGCACTCATAAAAACCAAGTCAGTAGCTTCTCGATTTCTCATAATGACTAATGAGTTGCTACTTGCTGAGTCATTGTTTATTTTTGAAATAAGACATTAGTTCATTATTTACTATTTAATATTCAGATTTTTAGAAAAAATGTTATTATTTAGCATTATTTCCTTTTACACAAATTAATATTGTCAATATTACTTAGTTATTTGTTTTAATTATTAATTGTGGATTTCAATTCTAAGTTATGTATACATTTTAGTTAGTAATATATTATACATAATATATAATTGAATATATATTATAAATATATAATTAAATATATAATTATATATGTAAATATATAATTATATATGTAAATATATAATTATATATATAATATATAATATAAATATATAATATACACATATAGGTGACTACTCGCCTAATTGTCGCCTAGGCGGGCGCCTTGTCGCCTAGGTGATATGACGGTCAGCTGGCGTCGCGACTCGACTTACCGCCGTGACAAGTATGATCCTAGATTTGGCTCTAGTTCTCATAGGATGATTATTGATGACAGGAGTATTATTTGGTAAGGTCACATGAGTAGAAGAATTGGAGGAATCTGACTTAGGAGTAGGAGAGGTAGAAGAAATAGGAGATGAGAACTGAGTGGTAGTAGTTGGTAAGGTCACATGAGTAGAAGAATTGGAGGAATCTGACCCTGAAGAAGAATGATGACTTTGATGACTTTGCTAATTTGAACATGACTGAGAGTATGAAGAAGATGACTGAGTGGAATGAATAGATGATGTGGATGATTTGGATGGAAGAGAGATAGATATAGGAGTAGAACCAGGTAGTGATGGTTCAGATGAATAAGAAGGTGTGGAGGGAAAAAGAGTGAGATAAGGAAACTTTGATTCATGAAAGATAACATCTCGGGCTTGTAACCTTTGTGAGTAGAGGAATATCCAAGAAAAATACACTCTTCAGAATGAAAGGCAAGTTTATGTTTATTATATGGTCTAATGAATGGATAACAGGAACAACCAAAGACTTTGAGGAAGGAATAATCAGAATGGGAGTTGTACAATTTGAAATAAGGGCTAGAATTGGAAAGAGACTTGGATGGAGTTCTGTTGATGAGATGAACTGCAGTGGCAAAGGCTGCATCCCAGAATTTAAGAGGCAGTGAGGAATGTGAGAGAAGAGATGGGGCTTTTTCTTTTTCAACAATTGTTCTGTGTTTTCATTCCACTACACCATTTTGATGATGTGTGTGTGGACAAATAACCCTATGAGTGATTCCTATTTCAGACAATAATTGGTTAGATGATCTGAATTCACCTCCCCAGTCAGATTGTATGGACTTAATGGAGACAGAAAATTGGTTAAGAACATAGTTATAGAAGTTGGTGAATGCAGAAAGAGCATTAGATTTTCTTTTTAAAAAATACACCCAAGTGAATCTGGTGGATGCATCTATGAAAGCAATGTAATAAGAATATCCATCAAAGGACAAAAACGGGGCTGGTCCCCAAAGATCGGTGAATATGAGCTCAAAAGGTTTATTGTATGTAGTTTGGGAAGGAAATGAAGGCAATCTATGTGACTTGACTAAACAACAAGCAGAACAGAACTCAACAACATTTTTATTGACAAAAGGAACATTACATTGCTGAAGTATACATTTAAGAGCCTCAAAATGAGGATGATCAAGTCAAAAATGCCAAAGATTACATGTTTGAGAAGGATCACATGGCTTAGAATTATCACAAGTAGATAAAAGTGTACTAGAAGATGTAGGACTAGGACTGGAGATTGAGAAAAGAGGAGATGTTCTGCTTAGTGAGGGAGCTTGAATTGGAACTGAATGAAACCTGTAAAGGCCATCATTATCAAGGATACCATGTAAAAGGATCTGTTTAGAAACCTGAGATTTAACAAAACACTCATAAGTATAAAATTCAAAAAAGGCATTATTATCCTTAGCAAACTGACTGGCACTAATCAGATTCTTAATTATGGAAGGAACATGTAAAATATTATTAAGGGAGAGAGATCAAGAGGACTGAAAGGGTGAGGGAAAAGTAGTAAAACCAATGGACTATATCCAAACCTTGACCATTGCCCATAAAGAGCTTATCAGTTGTGACAAGTGGCTCACTGTGTTGCAGGTTTAAAGGATCAGCAGTTACATGATGAGTAGCTCCAGAGTCTGAATACCATGTCTGATTCTGTGGGGCAGGTCCCAGAATAGAAGGAGTAGCAGAAACCCAAGCTGCAGTAGGAGTAGGATTGTATAACGTTTGAGGAGCTGTAGGATAAGGCTGTGGAGTTGATGAATTGTAAGGTTGCAGATGAGATGAAGGATATGATTGTGATTCCCAGTGATGAAGAGATGGAGAGGAATTTGGAGGATTAAACTGGTTAGGAGGAAATCTTGGTTGATAAGGAGTTGGATTAGAACTAGAAGATGGAGAGTTTGAATAAGGATTGTATTGATTGTTTGAAGAAATGGTGTATGAAGGATTGAACCTGTGGTAGCAAATTAAGGCATGGTGACCAGGTTTGCCACAAACTTGGCATATAATTGAAGCACGACCACCATATCTGCCACCACGACCTCTTCCAAGACCTCCACGACCTCTGTCTCTGTAGGAATCAGTATTAGGAGGGACATTGTACCGCACAACTTGAATAGAAGGATTTTCTGAAGATGTTTCAGGCGCGGAAGTATGATTTGGAGGTGATGGCTCAATACGAGCAACATTTGCAGAGAATAGATTTTGTTGTGATGATTCACGAAGCTTTTTCAGTCTCATTTCCTTCGCAGGCAAAAGAGATTCAACTTCACATAAAGTAGCAGGTTCCAGAGGACTTCGCGAGGAAATTGAGGATGCAAGAGATTCATACTCTTCTAATAGACCTTCCAATATAACATTGATGTGCTCCTTTGTGGAAAGAGGTTCTCCAATTGATAGTAAGTTATCAGCGATAGATTGAATACGAAGAAGATACTCAGAGATAGAACGCTCGCCTTTCGCAGTATTATACGATTCAGATTTGAGCTGTCTGGCTTTGGCAAGGATGTGCGGTTTGAAGTAACTTTTGATCTCACTCCACAGTTGATGCGAAAATCTACAGCGAATTACGCGAGCATGAAAGGATTCAGAAAGCGACGCAAGCAACAACATCTGATCTTGTTGCTCCCGAATAACAATTCCAGTTGCTTCATCATCATTTGAGTTGTATTGCTTTGGAATTTGCGGTGTTACAATGAACCGAAGTAGTTTATGAGCTCGAACAACAGATTCCACATGATGATTCCAGAAGAGAATTATTTGCATCAAGTTTGATAGGAAGTGAATGTGCGAAGGTGACGATAGAACTGGAATTGCCAGAATTGGTAGTAGAGTTGGAAGAATCATTGGAGATTGCCATGGATCGAGCTAGAGCTCTGATACCATATTAGAAAGTATACAGAGTAGAAAGAGAGAAGAAGCTGATCATTATTTCATCGAGTATCTGAAGCAGTATTACAGAGTATGTATAGAGTTGGTTAGGTCAACTACTAACTAACACTAACTGAACTCTAACAGATATAGGAAAGTCTATTCTAGTGTATATCTAACACTCCTCCTTTGTGGTGCTAGTATGCTAGAGGAGCCAAAAAGTGGAGGAGTAAGGAGTAATAGATATTTTAGGGAAAAATGCATTGAACATTAACCCTCCTATAAAGGAAAGAGATGTTTAATTTATTTATACTCCGTAAATTTTAAGTTTTCGTTATATACTTGTAATTTTTGAATTTATTTCTTTGGTTTAATTACATTTTCCTATCTCACTTTTTTTGATAACTTGCATATGGAATAAAATAAATGTTTTTATTTTATCAGGATAAAATAAATGTTTGAAATATGGATGTTTTTTTTGCTTTGGACAGACTGGAAGAGGGAGTATTTTGTGTTATTTTTAAAAATACAATAATCTATATATAACTATAATAAAGTACAATGATTTTGATTTGAATTAAAATTAAATAATAAAAAAATTTATTGAAGATGAGGGAAAAAAAATATTATTCCTCCAAATCCCACCAAATTGGAGGTGCTTGTGAGATATGAGGAGTTTGGATGAGTCCATTAATCACCTACATCCCTCCACCTACCTCTTAACTCCTCAAAATACTCTCAAAAGTCCTCCAACAAATTAACTAGGGCCAAGTGACCGTATAATTATGTTAAAATTGATTTCGTTTTCTTTGTTAGGTTGAGGTTGAGGGTGCAGTTAGGTGTGCACATGCCAGCTGAAGCAACCCACAAGGTTTTGCAGGATGGGGTTGATGGTTCAGCCGAAGTTGAATTGTTTGAGGTGTATGATGTAGTTCTGTATATGGGCATAATTGACATCTTGCAGGAATACAACATTAAAAAGAAGTTAGAGCACACTTATAAGTCCATGTTGGTTGATCCCATGTCAATTTCTGCCGTTAAACCCAGCATCTATTCTAAACGCTTTATTAACTTTTTAGAGAAGGTATTTCCCATAGAACCTTGAGGTTTAAGCTTCGATCTCCGGTTACGTTGTTCTGTGGCCGGTCTATATACATACCGTTTCAGTTTGTAGAGAGCTCTATTATCAGGTATATCATATATGTTGTTTATAGTAGTTTACATTGTTCCAATATTCTGTGACCTGTATATTTGCTAATATTATTTATTGTTAAAAAGATTCTTTGCTTCCTTTTTTTGTAGTGTTGACCTTGCCTATCCTCTTCTACTTGACCCTTTCAGACCAAACCTAAGCGAGCGCTAATCTTTTACAATTGGGGTAGGCTTTTGTGCTTTCCCCTTCCGAATCAGCTATGTTCATACCCCGTTAGAGACATTCAAATTTCCTGAGCCTCTTGTTGGTAAGCTGGATGCCTGCACATAGTCCCGGTTTACGAACAGGACCAAACCCTCTTGAGTAAAGGGAGAAAACTGATGCCCGTGTTTGCGGTTCTGGACAGAAACTAGTACTCTAAACTGGTCCTAAACAATTCCAGTTCCGTCAAATTAGGAAAGGATAGACCGATTTAGTGCTTTTGAATGTTTTTGAAAAATAGGATTAATCGGATTCAGACTGAAAACGGCCCGAGTTTGCTCGCTCCTACTTGGTATATTTCATGTTGTGGTGATCTGATTGTCTCACTTCTAGTCTAGTGACAATATACGGGTTGCAATTTCATTAGATCCATTGTTTGCATAAAAGCACTACGAGACCTTGCAAATATTGTTCTAGAGGCAAGGGTATCTGGATCGCCTCGGATTGAGATGCATTAGTTTACTAACTTCAATATAAGGTCTAGTGTTTAAAGGCACAAGATAAGGTCTACTAACTTCAATATAAGGTCTAGTGTTTCTTTTTGAGATGTATATATATATATATATATATATATATATATATATATATATATATATATATATATATGAGTTATATGAGTAGTGTTCCGGTCAGGAATTCCTGACCGGAACCGCCGTCCGGACGACAGCTTTTGGGGACCTTCCCGGTGGAGTTTTTTGATGAAATTTTTATGGCATGTTCTTCATCATGTCTAGTTTATCCACAAAAAAATTCAGCTAAAAACTCAATAGGGAAGGTCGTCAAATGATTTTTACAAGATAACTGCGTCGGAAAATACATATAAAACACAGTTAACTTGTAAAAATCATTTGACGACCTTCCCGATCGAGTTTTTAGCTGATTTTTTTTGTGGATAAACTAGACTTGATGAAGAACATGCCATAAAAATTTCATCAAAAAATTCCACCGGGAAGACGGCCAAACGCCGCCGTCCGGACGGCGGTTCCTGTCCGGAATTCCGGACATGAACTTTCCTCTCTCTCTCTCTCTATGTATATATATATATATATATATATATATATATATATATATATATATATATATATATATATATATATATATATATATATATATATATATATATATATATATATATATATACGGAGCGGTTCCGGTAAGAAAGAATCTTAGGAGAGAAATGAGAACGAATATGGACCGTTGGATTGGATTGTGTGGAACTGAATTGTGCATTCGGTGAAACCGAAATGTGCATTAGATGATATTGAAATATGTAGAATAAAAATTTAGACTTAAATGTGCATTAAATGAAACTCAAATGTGTGAAATAAAAGGTAAAAAAATAATCTCACATCGTACCTTTTATTCTGCACATTCCAGTTTCATATGATGCACATTTCAATTTCACATAATGCACAATTCAGCTTCACATAATGTCACTTTATTGTACAATTTGTGCTGCACATTTCAATTTCATTTAATGCACATTACTATTTCATCTAATGCACATCGGATTTCTCTTAAAGCAAATCTAACGGTCCAGATTCGTTCTCATTTCTCTTCTAAGATCATGTTCTTATTTGAACCAAAACCTCTATATATATATATATATATATATATATATATATATATATATATATATATATATATATATATATATATATATATATATATATATATATATATATATATATATATATATCATTTTGCATTAGTTTAAAGGCACAAAGAGGCTGTGGGTATGGATGTGCTAAAGGTTATGTGATTGAATGTATTGAATTTTCTTACAGGAAAGAACACTTCGTATGTTAGACTTATTCAGTCAAGGTAACAAGGAGAATAAGATGATTATTCTCCAGTCAAGTCGTCAAGAACACTTCGTATATTCGTATCCTTATTTGTTGAAAAGCAGAATAAGATGCTTTTGGTTATCAATAAACACAGGAAAGAACACTTCGAATGTTTGATAATTAATAAACATCGTATAGTAAGATGCTCCTACTTATAATAAGTTGCATACGCTACTGTGAAATACCGTGTAGTACCAAATGTATAACTAGGTATCATTAACAAAACTAAATTATGTGTTTGATATTGAATTTATAAGTGAATTTATTCAAAACAATCTCAACCACTGAAATATTAGCATATACGATGAGGCAAACTTTGTAGGGGTTATTTCCTTAATATTACTAAACTAAAGCTAATTTTCATAAAAGTGACCACATTTACATTTGGACAAAATGTGACTAGTGCAAAGTGACATCTCTATAACAATAACTAGGCCTGTCAATGGGTCGGGTCCGGGTAAGAACGTAGTGTTCCAGACCCAGACCCGCTAAGTTAATAATGGACCCGGACCTGACCCATTTACCCGGCGGGTCTGGAAATTCGGACCCGGACCCAGACCCAACGGGTCTCGGAATCGGGTCGGGTAGACCCGCCCGCCAAGTATGATACGCACACCATTATAAACTTTGTGAAAATAACAAGACATGTATGTGAAATATAAAACAAAGTGTACAAATTTAAAAACAAAATATATCTTCACTTTGCAAAAAAAATAAAGGTCTCTTATAGAAAATTAGTATTTTTATCTAATAAAGTATCGGTTCTTATACAGGCATATAGCTCCACACTCTTCGTCACTTTTCTCTCGCACAAAGAGCTCGTAGAATAAACTAGAAATTAAGTCATAAGAAGGTCTCTTGGACTACTAAGAGTATAAAATCATATGTAGTATTATATATGATAATGATATAATAATATTAATAATGATAGTAATAAATATTGTATTTTTCCTACCGAGCCCGATACACACTTTATCAATATGTATTTACGATCAAAAACTGAGCATTAGTTTTAGGGTATCTTACTATCTCGATCAGTATCACTTATATAGTAGTTATGTATTAATGTGTATATTTTTATTGAATAATCACAACTAATAACTTTATGTATTGTTATGTATATATGTATATTAGTTTCTATTTTATTTAATTTTTTATAACTAACCACTTTATGTATTAGTGTATGTGTATACAAATAAGAAATTTTAAACGGGTCCGGATCCTTAACGGGTCGGAATAATATGTACCATACCTGACCCGTTTATTTAAAATACTAACGGGTCCGGATACGGGTCTGGGTAAACGAAATAAAATATAGACTCGTACCCATTAAAAACAATCGGGTCCGGGCCGGGTCTGGGTCTAGACCCGACCCATTGACAGGCCTAACAATAACAACATTCATGCAACCAATCTCTGCAATGACATCAATCACAGTGATGCTGCAATAGTGATGGCTGTGATGCTATCATAGTGATGTCACCGCTAGAAAGTTTGCCGACTCCTTTTCCGATGCCCTGGTGCCAACAACCCAAGCCGCCATTGCCGTCCCTGTTCGTCCTGAGCCACCACCGATGCTCTTGCCCCGTCCCTAGCCCCCTACGCACCAGACCCCCACCCAGCCCCCAATCCCTACCCACACGCACCAGATCCCACCCAACCCCTATCCCTCCCCTCCCCACACCACAGCCTAGGGATGGACTCGAGCAGGGTGGCCCGATCCGGAACCGGTTCCGGCCCGACCCGGTGGCCCGGTCAGTGACCGGTCCGGGTAGGCCCGGCCCGTGAGTTTTCCGGTCCGGGCTCGGGTCACCCAAAACAAGGCCCGACCCGGCCGGGCCCGGGCCCGGTTTGGGCCAAAAACTATTTTTTTTTCAATTTTTTTTAAATTTTCGGGTTGGGCTGGGTATTTTGGGCCATTTGGGGTGGTTTGGGGAGTTGGGGTGGGAGGGGGGTTAATTAGGAAGAGGAAAACAAAAAAAATGACAATGGGCCCGGCCCGGCCCGGACCCGGTGGTTACCCAGGCCGGTCTCGGGTCCACCATTTCTGAACCGCCGGCCCGCCCGGGCCTAGGCCCGACCCGGACCCGAGTCCATCCCTACCACAGCCACTCAAACCCCAGTCCCTGCCCATCAACTGTCCCCAAAATTTGGATCCAAAACATTTACTTTTGGCTCGGTTCTAGCTAGGAACTGTGGACAGACTTACCCACGGATGTAGGTGGAGATTTGGCATTAGTGGCTCCTAGAACCGGCAGTAGCACTAGGTATGGAGCCGGATCGGTCCGGGTCAGGCTCAAGCCCGATTGGTCTTGGTTCTAAATAATTGAAGCCCGGTACTGATCCGGTTTGGACCGGCACTGGTTCCGAGCCAGGCCCAAACAGTACCGATCTCAGGTCGGGCTCACCCCAATGTCATTTTAAATATATCGATTGGGACCGGGACCGGGACTGAGTCGACTGACCAGTCCGATCCTAAAATATCAGGCCCAAGCTCATCCCGTTTCTACACCGATCCGAGTACCAGGCCAGTACCAGTACTGGAAAACTGATCCGAGTCGGACCCAAGCAGTACCAGCCCTAGGTCAATCCCAGGTTAGGCCGCTCGGGTCCAATCCAGCCCCAAGTAGCACCACTATATAGATGATTATGTTTATGTTCTCATTTATATAATTGCTATATTTTACTTATATTTAAGTCTTTCCCAAATAAAAATTCCTAAGTAGCCCTAAGCAAAAGGTCTGAAGATGCTAATTGGCAGAGACTTTTCTGATCAACAACAAAATTTCAAACTGAGTAGGCGGCAGGCTTGTTGCCAATTATTGATAAAGGATTGCACTTATAATACATAAAACAATAAACAGTAACAATAATGCGAAAAGCAAAGTGGCACAAACTATCTGATAACATTGAAATCTCCCTAAGCTTAGAGCAACTAGTTAACAGCCCCCTAACAGCCCCTCTGCTTGCAATCAAGTCTGCCCCTTTGCTCTTTCATATACGATGGGAACTTGCTGCAAAGATTACCGCTTATGTCCTTTGTTTCTCGTTCTTCATTAGTTGGACAAACTCCCCAAATACTACATTGAAACCATTTCGTTAGAACTGGGAGTTGCATGATCCCTCCAAACAATTTGGTTCAAATAAAAAGTCACTCTCAAGAGAATTGAGACTGAATGGGTTTGAGACCCATTGGCTCTAAATGTACAAACAAATGCAACAAAATGATTAAATCACGGTGACATTTTCATAAATAAACTGAACTAAAGTTGCACGACAAACGTAAAAGTGACTTTAAAGAACCAAGAGTGGATATTTCACATTTTTTATGGGAAACACCACTCGCACTGGAACACACACATACTTTAAAAAGGTGCTCAATGAGCAATGCCTCACGCAGTCACGCAGAAAAAGCATCCACATGCTTAAGCTGTTCCGCGACAGCGGGAATCGTAAGCCTTACTAGCTTGAAGGATGAGTTTCTAAGAGGGGTCGCCTCATGAGGTGGCTGAGGCGCACACCTCTAGAAAAGTTCTGAATTATTTTAACCAGCCCTGGCCCCATGAGACTGTTTTTTGGGCTGCTTTAAATATATTAAAAAAGCTTTTCTAAGCAGTAACGTAGCAAATAATTGAATAATTGACGTCTGAAGCGTAAGAGTACTTATTAGTGTTACGCAAA